GGTTCTGATGGTTCTGATGGTTCTGTTGGTTCTAAAGGTTCTGTTGGTTCTAAATGTTCTGATGGTTCTGTTGGTTCTAAAGGTTCTGTTGGTTCTAAAGGTTCTGATGGTTCTGTTGGTTCTACAGGTTCTGATGTTCTGATGGTTCTAAAGGTTCATGATGGTTCTAAAGGTTCTGATGGTTCTGTTGGTTCTGATGGTTCAGATGGTTCTGATGGTTCTGTTGGTTCTAAATGTTCTTATGGTTCTGTTGGTTCTAAAGGTTCTCTTGGTTCTAAAGGTTCTGATGGTTCTGATGGTTCTGTTGGTTCTAAAGGTTCTGTTGGTTCTAAATGTTCTGATGGTTCTGATGGTTCTAAATGTTTTGATGCTTCTAAAGGTTCTGTTGGTTCTGATGGTTCTAAAGGTTCTGATGGTTTTAAAGGTTCTGATGGTTCTGTTGGTTCTAAAGGTTCTGATGTTCTAAAGGTTCTGATGGTTCTGATGGTTCTGTTGGTTCTAAAGGTTCTGTTGGTTCTAAATGTTCTGATGGTTCTGTTGGTCCTACAGGTTCTGTTGGTTCTGATGGTTCTGTTGGTTCTAAAGGTTCTGATGGTTCTAAAGGTTCTGATGGTTCTGTTGGTTCTAAAGGTTCTGATGGTTCTAAAGGTTTTGATGGTTCTAAAGGTTCTGTTGGTTCTGATGGTTCTAAAGGTTCTGATGGTTTTAAAGGTTCTGATGGTTCTGTTGGTTCTAAAGGTTCTGATGGTTCTAAAGGTTCTGATGGTTCTGATGGTTCTGTTGGTTCTAAAGGTTCTGTATGTTCTAAATGTTCTGATGGTTCTGTTGGTTCTACAGGTTCTGTTGGTTCTGATGGTTCTGTTGGTTGTAAAGGTTCTGATGGTTCTAAAGGTTCTGATGGTTCTAAAGGTTCTGATGGTTCTGTTGGTTCGAAAGGTTCTGTTGGTTCTAAAGGTTCTGATGGTTCTGTTGGTTCTACAGTTTCTGTTGTTTCTAAAGGTCCTGATGGTTCTGATGGTTCTAAAGGTTCTGATGGTTCTAAAGGTTCTGTTGGTTCTAAAGGTTCTGATGGTTCTGTTGGTTCTACAGGTTCTGTTGTTTCTAAAGGTTCTGATGGTTCTGATGGTTTTAAAGGTTCTGATGGTTCTAAAGGTTCTGTTGGTTCTGACGGTTCTGATGGTTCTAAAGGTTCTGATGGTTCTGATGGTTCTACAGGTTCTGTTGTTTCTAAAGGTCCTGATGGTTCTGATGGTTCTAAAGGTTCTGTTGGTTCTGACGGTTCTGATGGTTCTAAAGGTTCTGATGGTTCTGATGGTTCTGATGGTTCTAAAGATTCTGATGGTCCTGGGTTTTCATGTTTGACTCTCTTCTTTTGGAACAAGACCCTCTGAGACCAGGTCCAGGTTCAGATCTGCGTGTGGTCCAGCAGGTCCAGGTCCGGTTGTGTTGACTCCAGTCCACTGACCTCTGCAGGGCGGAGCCACGGCGCCGGCGTGCGCACCGACGAGTGTGCGTTCTACAACGACAGCTCTGAGACGCAGCACACCAACCACAGCGCCGTGGAGCTCTGCGAGGACCAGGACCAGGAGGACAAACGGACCCACTGCTACGCCTCCTGGAGGAACGAGTCCGGAGACATCCAGCTGCTGAAGAAAGGCTGCTGGTTGGACGACTTCAACTGTTACGACAGGTAAAGCTCCGCCCACTAACGTCCCGGCAGGACGGCCTCGCGGGTCCTGATGCAGTTCTTCTGTGTCTCCTTCAGGCAGGACTGTGTGGCCACGGAGGACAGTCCTCAGGTCTTCTTCTGCTGCTGTGAGGGAAACCTCTGCAACCACAGGTTCACCCACCTGCCGGACCCCAGCAGTCCAGGTGAGTCCTTTTAGTCCAGGTGAGTCCTGCCTCTGACCAGACTGGACCTCAGCAGTCCATGTTGGTCCACTTGGTTTGGTTGGTGTAGGTCGGTCCAGTTGGTTTGGTTGGTGTAGGTTGGTCCAATTTGGTCCAGTTTTTCCAGGTGGGTTCGGTTCTGGTGAGTCCTGTGGAGAAGGATTTAAAGTCTGTTCTGGTTTCTTGACGAGGATGATGATGTGACCTTCAGTTTCTGATCAGCTGGAACATCAGAGATGATCTCCAGACCCAGATCCAGAACCAGACCCATGTGTGTGTTTCTGTGTTTCAGTTCTGTCGGCTCCTCCCAGCAGCCTGGGTGTGTTGAACGTGTTGATCTACTGTCTGGTTCCGGTCTCCATGTCCATGGTTCTGCTCGTCAGCGTCTGGATGTTCCACCACAGGAAGCCTCCGTATGGACAGGTGGACATCTCTGAGGTGGGTCTGTGACTGGACCGTCTCAGAGGGACAGGGTGTTACAGCTCCTTCTAAAGCTTCACAGAAAGGATTTCTTCTGGACCCTGGAGTCCACAGACCCTCAGAGGTCTTCTGATCTGGAGTCCAGATATTTCAGGGGACAGATCTAGTGTTCTGGAGTCCAGATGTTTCAGGAGGACAGATCTAATCTTCTGATCTGGAGTCCAGATGTTTCAGGGGAACAGATCTGGTCTTCTGATCTGGAGTCCAGATGTTTCAGGGGACAGATCTAATCTTCTGATCTAGAGTCCAGATGTTTCAGGGGACAGATCTGGTCTTCTGATCTAGAGTCCAGATGTTTTGGGACAGATCTAATCTTCTGGTCTTAGTGGTAAATATTAGACTAGCCTCAGAATAGGTTCTGATGTCCTGTCTGTATGTCCTCCAGGATCCTGGTCCTCCTCCGGCGTCCCCCCTGCTGGGTCTGCAGCCCCTGCAGCTGCTGGAGGTGAAAGCTAGGGGGCGCTTCGGCTGTGTGTGGAAGGCCCAGATCCTGAACGAGTTTGTGGCCGTGAAGATCTTCCCAGTCCAGGTGAGACTGGATCCTGCTGGATGGACCTGCTGGTCTCTGTGAACCCTGTAACGAGTCCTGCTCCTCCTGACAGAARATTGAGTCGTGGCAGAATGAGACAGACGTCTTCAGGACTCCGGGGATGAGACACGAGAACATCCTGAGGTTTGTGGGAGCAGAGAGACGAGGGACTCACCTGGAGACAGAACTGTGGCTCCTCACAGAGTTCCACCACAGGGTGAGAGACCACTTCCTGTTCCTGTCCTTCATCCTCACAGGACCACAGGGTCACGTAGATCTGTCTCTGCAGGGTTCTCTGTCAGACTTCCTGAAGGGGAACATGGTCAGCTGGACCGAGCTGTGCCACATAACTGAGTCCATGGCCCGGGGTCTGGCCTACCTTCACGAGGACATCCCCCGACTGAAAGGAGACCACCACAAACCGGCCATCGCACACAGGTCCACCACTGCCAGAACCTCAGGACCTGAAGTTAAAACTGATCCAGCAGTCCTGGACCTGCAGGGTCTGATGGGTTCTGGTCTTATTTTTCAGGGATTTTAAGAGTAAGAACATCCTCCTGCGGTCGGACCTGACCTCCATCATCGCTGACTTTGGTCTGGCCTCTCGCTTCGAGCCGGGGGACCCACCTGGAGAGATCCACGGCCAGGTGAGCAGGGGTCCAGAGCTTCAGGTACAGCCTGGGTGTGGTTTCATGGACACACCTGTGTTCTGGGTGCAGGTGGGCACCAGGCGCTACATGGCCCCGGAGGTCCTAGAAGGAGCCATCAACTTCCAGAGAGACGCCTTCCTGCGGATCGACATGTACGCCCTGGGTCTGGTTCTGTGGGAGGTGGTGACCCGCTGCCAGGCCGCTGACGGTACCGGACACACAAACCCAGATACCAGGTGGTTCTGTTCAGGTAGACCGCCCACACCTGAGGGCCGGTTCTTWCTGAACCCAACAGAACCACCGTGTATGAGGTCCAAGCCATCCCTCTCCTCAAGTCTGGGTTCTGGTGTCTTCAGGTCCGGTGGACGAGTACATGCTGCCCTTTGAGGAGGAGGTGGGCCAGCATCCCACTCTGGAGGACCTGCAGGACCTCGTGGTCCACAAGAAGATGAGACCACCCATCAAAGAGCTCTGGCTCAAACACAACGTGAGTTCCAATGGTTCTGACCCGATCACAGTTCCTGCTGGTACCGTTTGAGTCCTGAAGGACAGAGGCTGAGGTCCTGGGTCCATTAGAGTTAGGGTTGGACCCATCAAATGATTCATTAAGGCTGGGTCTCTGGGACTACAGGGTCCACGTTGGTCCAGTTCAGGTTCTTCAGGTAGAGTCCAGCTGAAGGTGTTCTGATCAGGTTCTCGACCTGGTCTCTGCAGGGTCTGGCTCAGGTCTGTGAGACCTTGGAGGAGTGCTGGGACCACGACGCCGAGGCTCGACTGTCCGCCGGCTGCGTGGAGGAGAGGATCTCCCAGATCCGACGCCTCAAAACCACCGCCATCATAGCTCCGCCCCCTTCTGACCACCACACCCTACTGCTGTCCACCATCACGCCTGTCACCATGGTAACTAATGTGGACATGTCCCCCAAAGAGGCCAGTGTATGAAGAGGACTTACAGCTGAGGACACACCTGCTGTCCCTGTCTCTGTCCCCTCTGTGGTCTCTGTCCCCTCTGTGGTCTTGTCTCTGTCCCCTGTGGACTTCTTCATGGTTCTGTGGTCTCTGTCCCCTGTGGACTTCTTCATGGTTCTGTGGTCTCGGTCCCCTCTGTGGTCTTGTCTCTGTCCCCTGTGGACTTCTTCATGGTTCTGTGGTCTCTGTCCCCTGTGGACTTCTTCATGGTTCTGTGGTCTCGGTCCCCTCTGTGGTCTTGTCTCTGTCCCCTGTGGACTTCTTCATGGTTCTGTGGTCTCTGTCCCCTCTGTGGTCTTGTCTCTGTCCCCTGTGGACTTCTTCATGGTTCTGTGGTCTCTG